GAAATCTCGAAATCAATTTTCCACAGCATTACATAATTCTTGCTGTACTACTTATATTACTCCGTACATGAGAAAGTAAAAAGGGATGAATATAATTTCTGAAGACTATACCAAAGTGGAATATTAAAGACATTTTCAAAGAAAAATTCCCCTTTCCATTGAAAGACTTTTCTGTTTTGGTAGAATACCATCATTTAGATACCCTCCCGTAACCTCTTGCGATATGGAGAGAGGTTTTTGATAATATAAAAGCATATTGAGAGACAACAGGTAAAGCTTCACAATTGAAACTATTGGTAAAGATCGTAATTTCATTGCTGATTTTGAACAAAACAACTTTTGCATTAACAAACAGAAAATTCTGCAAGTTTATTTTTACTTAATTGTGATCAAAATGCATTTCGAACAATGTAATAGTGCATATTTTGCATTATTTGGTGCATTTTGCAATCAAATTTTGGAAATTTTTGTGGCGTGAACTTCCGGGTCCTACTGATAAAAAAAAGTACTTACTGTTGTAGCACTAATAGTTTATCAAAGATAGTACTTTTAGTTCATTTGTCACAAATTTCCTTCATAATCAACATCCATTCCTTTGAGACTTTGCAAGTTATGTACACTTAATTATCTATTCTATAGCAAAATCTGTTTCTCTACTTTAGATTTTCCAGTGTTTTGTATGGTGCTCAGTATTTCACATAAAATGCGTCAATACGAATTTTTTAAATTATAACAAAAAAGGAAACTTACACATTGCAGATTCATCAATAAAATCCCTTAACACATTCAGGTCAGCTTCTGCCCAACTTTTTTCCAACACAGGTCATAAGGTTAGGGGGTATATATGAAGAGTCACATCTCCTAAACCAATAATCCTAGAAGCAAGATTCTTGTTTTTATTTTAAAACAACAATCATACTTTTATATAAAGTTCCTTCTTTTAGGTTTACATTAGTAATTTAAAATATTGTTTATATACAAATAACAAAAAATAATGCCCCCAAAAAAGTTTAACATGTTCATTTTAATTAAATTCTTACAAATTCGCTTCAAATTGGAACATTATGGCGGCACGGCAGATGGCATGCTGTTTATTCCAGTTATTAAGTAATTACCAATTAATAGAAAACTAAATCTTGCATTATATTTAGGTACTTCATTGGTGTAGATACTCCCATGAATGATCAATAATCGAAGAAATGGCATATATGAACAAATATACAGCATGGATCATGCACCCATAGATTCTACGGACAATGTAATTTATAATGACCTGTCGGTGCCTGTAGATTCTACAAGCAGTGACCTGAATGTGTTATTTAACTTAAGTTGTATTAATGAAGTAATGTAAATTTAAATGTTAGACCACAAAGTCTGAACAACCAATTTAAGAACTACAGGTCAGTTCTGTTTCAGTTTAAGAACTACAGGTCTCTTAAACACAAAGCTTTTATCAGTAACTTACCGAATGCACTAATTTCCTGAGATCATTAAGAGCATCGGGATGAGAAAGATAGGCATTGTTTTCTTTATTTTCATCAAAACAATCAGATTCATGCTCTGGAGTTGATGAGTCTTTTGGTGCACTGTTCTCAATATATATGTCATGATTCTTATCATGAGAGTGTGACAACTGACTATCTGATGGTTCCAAGGTGATTGTTTCATTTAAGCAAGGTTCAGCATCATTCTGGTCATTAGCACCAGTCTTAAATTTACTGAACCGAGGATCTCTGCTACTGTTCATTTCTGAAGGAACAATGGACATATTCTTGGGCAGACCAAAGCAACATAAGTGACGGTAACTAAAAGCTGATTTTCCCCTTTTGGCAAGCCAGTCTTCTAATCTTTTCCTGATAATAAAATGAAAAATTTTATACATGACATATTCTTCCATAACAGACATGACACAAATAAATTTGACAAAAATTAAATCAAAAGAAGGAAAATAAAAAAATAAAATGGAGGAAAAGAAAACAAACACGATTATCTTTACCTACTGTGACACTCATTACAATATATACTGCTTCATTAGCCACTCACCGAAGAACAGATGGCGTTGGAGTATTCGTAATATTTATAGGTGTGAAAGAGGAATTATGCAGAGGAGAAAAAAATGCTACACTTTTAAAACTTTTATTCAGAGCTTTGCTTTCTGGCCCATTTTCTATTTCACCAAGGACACCAACATCTTCACCTATAAAAATTTGAAAGTATTTCTTTAAAAATTAATACTCTTATCAATACACTGTATTAAATATGCACAAAATTGACACTTTTTTTCCATTATTTGTAAATTTTACGTAATTTTGAGTACCATGTTAACAAATACCACAGTATTGAACATCCAATGTAAATACCAAAAGCTAGAAATTACTTCGTTAATACTTCCTTAATTAAAAAATAGAAATTTCTCAGTATTAGATCTTTAAATTGGTTCAATTAAATATTTTCAAAAATTGTTAGTATTGAAGTAATTTTGATTTGAGTAATTATTTTGTTACATTCTACAATTCCCTTTTAAACGAAATCACACTAACAAAAGGTAGGCTACTGACATGGAGGTGTGTCAAGCTGGAACAGTCGTGTCAGCACACCAGAATGAAACATGTCAAATGATTTATTGCGAACTAATTGCAACAATTTATAATTGATTGTCATAGATGTTCATGGCAAAAACGGGTGTGAGCTGGGTGCCAGCATACACAAGTTAATAAATTCATGTCTTAGCTCAACAGAAAGCATCAGATGATTTATTGCTAATTAATTGCCAATTGTCACTTCTCTTGCTGGCGAAAAAGGGCTGAGCACCAGCACACAAGTTAAATTCGTGTCGTAGCTCGACATACACCCGACAATGATTTATTGATTATTAATTGCAAATTAATCAGCTCAATTTTGCGTGGGGATAACAGGCTTGACATGTCAAACCTGCACACAAAGTTAAATTCGGGTTGTAAATAAGTTTTCGTCAAAAATACGTGACAAATAATTCCAATTTGTGGCAATTAATTAACAATTAATCATTTGAGGATTTCCATTGAGCTACAACCTGAATTTAACTTTTGTGTTCTGGCGTCTCATCAAACCATTTCATGCCCATTTTTACCTACAAAAAAAAATACAAAGCAATTAACTCCAAATTGTAGCATTGTATTAGCAATAAATCATTTGTCATGTTTCATTCCCGTGTGCTGCCATGGCTGTTCCAGGTTGATGCATCTCTGCCGTGGCATAGAGACCATATCTCCGCCTGTTAAACTTGAAATTACAAGTTGTCCATAAATTACATACAGCTAAAGAGGGGGGAGGAGATTTGTGGTAGTGTTACTCTGCGTTGTGTAGGGGAAGAGTGTTAGCTTAGCATTACATAACGTTGGTTTTATAATATTGAACTTTCGCTGAAATAATTTCTTTCATTCAATTACATACTAACACATTACGATACAAAATTAAATTTTAAAAATAAAATTGAAAAAAATCTATGTAATTGTTTTAATAATATATACATTGAATCTGTTAGAGTACAAAGAAAATATTATAACTGAATTAAATTCAAAAATCCATTTAAATTGGCACAAAAGTCTCACGCCCATGGCTCGTCAAAAATTCTTTCGCAATCGGAGACATTAACATTGTATCTAATATAATCGTTAGGTGTGGTCAGCTTCACCAAATAATTATAACTTTATCTTACAATTTTAATATATAACACAAAAATAAAATCAATACAAAAGGTTTTTACTATTACAATAAATTTTTACTTGCTCTAAATGGGAGGGGGTTGACATAAGTATTAGAGGTGACCACACTACAGAGCATCAGTCATGTGGATTTTTTTTTTTTTTTTTTTTTTTTTTTTTTTTTTTTTTTTTTTGAAAGATATTGTTGCCACTCCATACGAATCATCCACCACCTACTCTATGGTCATTCTGCTAAAGGAAAATGTTCACAAAAAAATTTTGTTATAGTGATAGAATAGTGTGAAAATATTTTCAAGATAAAGATTAATATTTTCTGTATGCTGTATTTAGTTAATATTTGGGCCTTCACAACTGCAATAAGAAGTTCAACTACCAGGAATTGTGTATTTGACATTAACAAACATTAACATTAACAAATATTACACTTCGAACATTTACTTTTATCAGGTGCTTCTCAGCACTCCTTATGATCTGAGAAAAAATATTTAGTCTAATAATTTGGTCACCTCTTTAATTATTTAGGGGGAAGGAGGGGTGACTTCAGGTGCTCATTTTGGGTGTGGTGCAAGGGAGAATGAGAAGAATTGAAAATTCTCCAAATTTGCAAGAAGTAATTCACGGAAGACCCCTTATAAAACAGATTCCCATTGGCACTAGGGTAAAATTTTTCTTAATTTTTTTGAGTTGCACGAATTGCAATTATTAAACACTGTAAAGTCTGTTTCATTAAAAATCAGTGAATTTTTGAAACTTGCAAATTTCCCATGCTTCTTTTGCTGAAAGCGTACTTCACAAATTGGCTGAAAAATTTGTAGAACAAATTTTGAAATATTATAATACTACTTATCCATTATAGATAAAACAAGAATGAATGTGCTGTTGTATTGTCCAAATTAAATATTTCCTCAATTTCAGGAGCTACATGGAGAGGGTTACACTCATCCAATTACAAGCTTCAAAAATTTAAATTGTAAGGAGGCTGCTTATTGGATGGCAGTGTGCCCCATCCCTTCCAGCACTTGACCTGAAGGAGATGCTATTTAAATACAAGTAGCATCAACGAGTTCAGAAATCTGTCACCTTGAGTAGCACTCGTGACAGATTCCTGAACTCGCTGGGTTCCGGAGTCATCGAAATTTGAAACTAATACTTCTTCCAGATTTTCATTCTATAAGTATTAGGGGCTGCCTTATTTTCACACATTAAGAAAAATGAAAGGTACAGTTCGCAATTCTAGAAACCTCTAAAGCAGCAAACCCCCACAACAAATGTATCACCAAAGATTTCCTTTTGTTAACTATGCATGAGGAACAAAACAAGACCAACAGTTTCAAAAACTATGTTCTAAGACTTCAGGATGCACAGTTTACAGGTGATGCATGAATAACAGTAAACATTATTATGTAGGTTATGTGTTACAGATTGCTTTTCAAAAGCCCAATAAAATAGAGAATTTTTAAGAAATTTTTGTCATTTTAAAAATTGCTTTGTAATTGATTATCTCTCCCTGAAATACTCTTGTGACATCTTGTTGGTTTAATATTTGTTGGGTTACCAAAAGATGTATACCTCAGAAATAACGTGATAAATTTAAAAAGTTTGAGATATTGACAAAGTTTAATTAATGTAGTTTATAAATAAAATAATCATGACAAATACATAATAGGGAATTCAAGCAGTGTAAAATACAGCAATCAATAGTAATCTCAACTTTATGGATGTGTGCCGTTCAAGTTGCACATGTACAAATGTTTCGAAAGAGGTAGATTGTGGTAAAGATATTCGTAGAGGAGATATTCAGGGACCAGTTTGACAGGGAGTGAAACAAAAGAACATGTCAGACGATGGCATTATAAAAAGTTGTGTGGAAGCTATTTATAAATGAGCCAACTTCAAACTAACACATTGACAAATTGAGTGCATGGATATAATCAGTTTTGTTGCCAGCAGTAGCTGTCACAGCAGCCCCTTCTAACAATAATCTCTCTATATCAACTACTGTATGCTACACTGCGCTTTAAGTCCCTTATAAAGATAAGCATAAAGGATGAAAATGTTTTTTCAAGCATTGTTAACTAAAGTAGGATTTATTTAGACGTGAATTGGCACAAGTCAGATGTTGATATAGGTCTCTTCCAATCAGGAGCTTATGTCGCTAGTGATGTCACTATGCCACTGTTCATGCTCCCCATTGTATGAAACTGCGAACAGCTGATTTACTTCAAAAGCACGAATAAATATCTCCAAGTATAATTTCAAATTACAAAAACCTTGGGTCAATTTGTATATTGGTAAATGCAGTACTTTTTAAAGTTTTACCAATATTTAATTAAGTAACTGCATATTCAAAGTGAATCATTGGATTATTTACAAGAGAACTTACTTTTCATGTTCATTTTTCTCAAGTCCCCAACAGACGCACTCTTGCGCAATATAGACTTCAGTTGTTTCTGTGCCGGAGTATTGATTTTCTTTGACTGAGAATTCAGATCATGCGAGACAATTGAATTCTTTTCATGTTTTTTTTTGTCCATGGCTGTAATTTTAATACTTGTGTTACAAGCATGAAAAATTGCCTAAAAGTCCCAATACATCAACATTTTAATGCAAACTCTAAAACCGGGAGTTCCATAATGCAAAATATTACACAAATTGAAACTGTATCAGTAAGAGAACTTGCAAATTTGGGGTGATTTAATTAATTTAAGCAACTGATTGGTGGCTTAGTTTTATTAATGATTCAAGTTCATTAATATGAACTTTGTAAATTATTGTATATAATTTATATGCTTCTCTCTAATTCAACTTTTAATAATTGTACCAATAAAGAAATACTTCTATTAACCAGGATTTTCAATTTTAAACCCCCTTCCCTGTTATCACACATTATGGAGTACAAACTCTAATCGCTATTAAAAAAAATATTTTTTTAAAGATCAAAAGCATTACTACTGCAGGCAGAGTATAGTAAAACAGAAAGCAATAATGGTAAATGGTTCAAGAACTTTACATTACAGAATTACAAAATATACATCATATTACTAGTCTGCAGATCATCTATCGCCCCCATACATAGCAAAAGCAACATACACAATTGAAGTGAAAAGATGTGAATACAACAAATTTAGAAAAAAAAACACTATCAGTAAGGCAATGCATGAAAATAATTAAGAAAAAAGACATGCGAAGAAAATGAATTTCACATTCTAGCATAATTTTAATTGTTAGGAGGAATTGTTAACAGTAAGCATGCATTAATAACAAGCAGCAGGATTTAAGGAGAACAAACATGAAAATATTTGTTGAAGCAATCCCTCTTGCAGAAACACTTTACCTTGTCTTTTAGTTTCAGTCAACCGTTTTAGTTTGACAGAATTATTGGCCACTAGTGCTGTTGAAGCATCATTGCGAGCAGCCAAAGGTTTGATCCATGTTGATCGTCGTACATTTTTATTTGAAGCACCTGCAGAACTTCTATATTGGGTGGATGATGAAATATTCTTTTTAGGCAGGGAAGAAGGTAGGGTTTTATGTACAGTTGAAATCCGTGACTGTTTGGGAATCACATTACCAGATTTCGTATTTTCCCCATTGCCTTTATTAAATATTCCTGCACGTGGAGGCTTATTTTCTTTAAAAATGCTTACTGTTTTTCTTTCATTGTCAACAGCTCTGTTCTTAAGAGTAGGTCTAATTTCTGAAGCCGGAACTTTGCTTCTGAACTCTGGTTTCTGTTTGGGCTGTAACATACCCGGATGAAATGTGGATCTTCTGGATGGGGTCCCAGTGATAGCAGGTTCACCAATACCAGAACCACATGATGTAAGCAGGGGATTTGCCTTTTCCATTCGAAGCTTACTAGTCAATGTATGCCGTATTGGAATTGGATTTCTCACTGCACAAAAATTGAAGAGGAAAACAACTTAAAAGCAACAGAAAATGGAATACTTTCCTGCAATTATAAGTTTTGTTTTGTATTACAAATTATTAGTACTTGTAAAAATTAAAATGTTTAGAAATTATAAAAATATCAATCGTTGAAAATGTCAATTATAAATAATTAACAACATAATTTAAAAGGCTTACACCATATTTCATAAAGAATCAGGAATTCATTATCCAATAGCCAAAAACATTTGCCCATTTCAATTTCCTTTCAAAATTAAATAAATGCATCCTGAAAATAGCTAGTCAAAAAATTGTACTCCCTATCAAGGGGTCAAAAGACAAGTAGCACATTAGTAATAAATTAAAATTTTAAAGAATTTGCCATTACAAAATATTATTAAGATATATGCAATTTACAATTAAAAGATTACAGAGGTTAATAAACTATTTCCTCGGATTTTCGTTTATATGACTGAATATGGTTGAAAGGCATTGGAACGCAAGAATACCATGTTTTGTCATTCGACTGGGCGCTGACATTCCCGACGTCTTCTTCTGAGGTACATTTTCGAGTTTACTCGCAGCAGAATCTTTACTCCCCACACATCTGTCTATTCCTGTTTTATTAGATGTACTTCTAACATGCGATGATATATCCATTCTGAAAATTTTACAAATCACCAGAAATGTACGGATTGTAATTGTAGATACACTGGCTACGAGTATATTTATCAACATCAGAGCGCATTACCTTGATGACGGTGGACGTCCAATAATATTCCGTTTAGATGCGTTGAAGCTCATGATAGAATTACTTAGCGTTCCCGAATATTAAAATTGCGAACTTCAACCTCTTTCCAACACTACTAACAAACGAATATGACTTCTAGCACACACCCACGAAATATGGAAACACAGCAGTAACTTGCATCAACGGAAAAGTTTTGAATTCGAATGAACAACCGCGGATAGTTCATCAGTAATGCCAACTTACATGAGCCCACAGGCATGAAGGAATATACAATACGAGGTGAAACTCGCTGTTTGAGAGAATATACTAGAGGATTCGCCAGCATCGTTTCCGTGTGGCGGCATCTATTTTAAGATTCAAAGATATTTCAAACGTTACTTCTGTATTTGCTCGTCAGGAAGCGGAGCGAGCTTACCAGAGCTTACGAAACTTCTATCATTCATTTCATCCTTGAATTTAATTTCTTGCTGGTGGAGAGGGTGTTGCACATGTCAATGTGTTTGTGACTTGACATTACGTTTGCGGGCGATGTTTGGTGGTGTTCTGTCACAGAACTTCTGTGTTGTCTAGTGTTGCAGATCACGATTGATCACGATGGCGAAATGTTGAAATCCAGGATTCGCCAATGACTGGGTAAAGAGAAAAGTTTCATCAAGTTTCCCTCATGCCCGGGAAAGCGAGTGTTATTTTCGAGTTTTGATAACGACAGTGAGTGAGAAATAAATGGCTGCCTGTAACATTTGAATGTTTTATCAAATTCATAAAAAATGTATTTGCCCGCCATACAGCCCAATTGACACCACAAATTAGTTTATTATCAAGTGTATTGGGTTTTGTTCGTAACCCTATCGATTTCCATTTAGTATGGTATTATTTCGTACGTTTCAGACAACTTAGAGCTTTACAAGTCATTGTTTTGTAAAAGTAATGCGCTTAAGTGTAGCATCCGTAATGTACAAGACATGAGAAGTTGGGGTGTATTCTTTCTACATTAGATTTTTCAAGTATATGTTTTCATTACAGGTGCCAAAGTTGCTACGGTTCTGCAACATGAAGTATAGAATCCGGTCAGCTGGAAAGTCAAAGAAGAAAAGAACTGAATTGCATGAAAATACCCTTGAGTAAGACAGTTTTGACGAATATCACTGATTCGTTAAAAAAGTAGGCAAAAAAATTGTAGCATTTGTTTATCTATGCTTTATAAATGTTTCTTTTATACAAATTTTGTCACTAACTTTCTGCACAAAATGTGAACTCATTTACAATTCTTACTGAATATAAGCCTACAAATCTTATGTTTTTTACCCCTTCAATTGTATGATTTGAGTGAAAATGTGATGAATTAGAAAAAATAAAATGTTTTAAACAAATTATATTCGTATTGGGATATACATCTTTTCCAAACTAAACTACAGATCTGAAAGAGGATAGAGATGTTTGGATAACTGAAGACCCTGGGATTGATTCCAAGGGGTATCAAATATTTGCACTTTATTTTTACAATGATTTTTTGGTGTATTCATAGTTTTACAGTAATGACAAGAAATGCTTCTAAAGACAAAGTACATCTGATCCAACCTGCAAATCATTTTATGTTGATATATCATTTATGTCAATAATTGACAAATATTGTACAATTATTGTATCACATAAAAAAATATAAATATTTTGTGTTGTAACTTGAAAAGTTGGAGATAAATAATAATTGCATTAACACAAATGTGTTAACGTAACTACTGATGACCTTCTTCCCCGTATGTCACATACAGTTTTATCTGTTTTTTCACTAAATAAATCTAAATATTGTAATGTCTGCAATACCAGATTATTCTTCTGTACTGTGTTGTATTGGTCTATAATTATGAAAAATTGTTTTCAGAATATATTTTATTAACATCATACCCAAAAATGTTTGTTTTTTATAATTGCCAACAGATTCCTCCCAACACCAATTATTTTATTTTTAAATAGGTGCACAATTAGTAGATGGAGCACTGTGGTACTGAGCCAGCTGTTTCAACGCTCAAGAAGTACCCACCTGGCCAGAGTGCAGGATTGTCATTTTAACTACTGTACCTTTTGTGGATGGTGCCACACAAGTTTCCCCTCTTATTCTATATTCCTCCATGGTATATCCACCACGAAGTATATATGCGTTTCTTTTGTGATTTCCACCATGAACTGGATCAAGACTATCTGGATCTATCGAGATGGCCTTGACCAGACCTCACTGGATAAGAGAGGACACCCCCTTGACTGGATAAAGATGTTCAGGCAAACAAATTTGGGTGGTAAGCTCTGAGCATAATAATTCCTGTAGAATCAGTAAGTTTTTGGCTGGATTATAGGTTGCCAAGGGTTGTTTTTTTTTAACATTTTTTATTCAGTGATTGGCTTTCTCAGGGTTTGTTCAAGTTCAGGCCATGGTTTGTTCTATGGTTTAGCTGCATATCTCGATTTAAAGAAGCACTATTTTATCAAGCATGACAAGTCACTACCTTTTCATTTCGAAAATGGTTCAAAGTATATTTCAATATTATCCTATACTTAGCGATGATGCTATGGGGTTGCATTACAATGAAATGTATTAAAAATTTGGATCCACATGCCCTTTCATCACATATTAAAAGTGCCAACAAATTTCGTCCCCCAATGCTATTCCAGTAGAAGTAACCCCTACCATATATTTTTACAAAGTATCAGATTTTTAAATAATTGTTTTGGAACATTCCGGTTGTAGTATTAATTATTATGAGAGTTATTACATTCATTAAACTTAAATAATTGTTTGGAAATAATCTAAAATGTTTGTAAACCAATCCCAAAAAAGGTTCGTAATAGAGGATCTTGCAGCACTAAGTTAACGAGAATTTGATATAATTTAACTTATTAATTATTCAAGGTATAATTTATAATAAATATATGGCTATTTAAAAATATAAATATAATAATTTTTACCACATTCTTAAAAAAATGGGCTAATTAAAAATTTGATTATTGAATTGCATGCATTTAAAATGTTAGTTGTCATCCCTTAATGATTTTAATGTTAACATTTTTAATGAAATCATGTATTTTCAATATCTTATGCGTAAGACTTATCTTCTACACGAATAGTCTTGACATTGGTTTAGATTTACTTTTTCAGAAATAAAGTCTTGAAAATCCACAAAATTTTAGTGGCCTATACACAGCTTGATTTCAGAAGCGGGACGAAAAGTACAAAACAAACGCATATTATACCAATATGTACTTGGGCTTTTATTTTTTGGCGCGTGAGGGCCTGTCTTCACGATGGAATATCCGAGGGGGGGAGCTCTTGCGCATAGGAGGGCCAATTAGATTCGAGCCACGAGTTTGCATCACAATATTAGCAGGAATTTTAAATGTAGCCAGATACTAAAATCACATCCTAACAAGACATTGAAACAGATTTATGAAGAATAATGTCTTTGAAATGTTTCATATTATTCACATATCGTGTTATTTTTGGTCGGTTAAAGTTAAAAATTGTCAATTTGAACTATTTTCAAAATTAATATTAAAACTGAGTTAAATAAAAGCATATTTTAAAACATTGTTTTCATAATTTTATGCGTGGTGTTCGTGTCAGGGACTGTATATACCTTCCGCGCACGTGGTTCTAGCTTCGATTTACACTACGCACTTTCATTGTTTTGTATTGGATCGGAATTGAGACATTTGGCGGTAACAGAATTCATACAAAACAAAGAAATCAAAAAACGGTGATCGCAACAAGTTTGGTGCTTGGACATGCTTTTCACAAAAGTATTTTATTTCCAACATTTCAATACCCTAGTATATATTGTAATAACGATATTCCACACACACGATATAGCTCGCAGGCTGTAACTCCTGAAAGGCCCACAGGAGACTACACCGAGGAATGAATAGCGAGAAAAGTGCGACGAGAAATGTGGAAAATCGAAATATCAACCTACACACTTGAAAGAGATTTCTTATTCGCCTCTGCGGAGCATAGAGGAGAGATATATCTCTACTCTATGCTGCGGAGACGAAAGAGACCGCAGGAAAAAACTAAATAGTGCGTAGAACTGAATGAGGCTATAATATTTAGCAGTAAAAGATGTGATAAAAACCGTTTTTTAATTGTTTACTTGAATTTTCTCTTTAAGGAGACCCGGGAGTTCAAACAACATTTATTCAATTGTTTTTTCTTCTATTCTTTGGCCCTGCTTTTCGTATGTCAGAAAATATACTTATTTTGCTTGTTTGAGCATTCAAAATATTTTTCACGGCGTTTTAAATGTTGTGCCTGGATGTTCGTGTTTCTCAGCCAGTCGATCTGACCCTTTGCCGTGCTGCGTTTTCAGTTCGATATATATATATATATATATATATATATATATCGCTCTCTTCTCTACCCTGAAGCTTTGCCGTGGGAGACGCAGATTGTGTAGGATCTGCGGTGCTTCTGATGACATCGAGGTCTGTGTTATTGCTCCGCTTAGGAGCTTAGGAGAGTGTCAAGGCAGGAGCGGATCCAGTGATTATTTTCGGGAGGGTGGGGGTATATTTTTTGTAAATAATAATGTATTGTTATTATATTGTATACTAATTTAGAGATTCACTTAGATAACTCATTAATGAGGTAAACGTCGGTTTTAGATCAAAAATGAGTTGTAGGATAAAAGAGCTCGTGCGTATACTCGCTCATCTCTTTCCGGTATTTGAAACCGGAAGATCTCTAAGCAAGGTGGATATGTTAACAGAAAACCTAAAATAAAATATATCTAAAATAAGATGTGAAGGAGAGGAATAATGGTTATATTTTAGCAAAATTAGTTTCATTTTTTAAAAACAGTTCCAAATGAAATCGATATTTTGAGTATTGCTTCTAAACAATTTATTAAGATGCGTATTCGAGAGGAAGCCGAAAATATGTGAAAAATCTACTTATGGTCTACTATTTAACAGACCGTTTTACTCAGTCGAGTAATAGTAATAGCATCTCTTAATTTGGTATCTGTGGAAAATAGACAGATGCAGAGACGAAGCCAAAAACGACTGTCTGGCTTGCGATCCGACAAGTCCCGCCTGCTCCGCGGGCTGGCCGAACGCCGCCTGGCCTGGTCAGGCCCCCGCGCGACAGAGAGCCACAAACAATCGGGTGGGTGAAGCAACCGGCGAAGAAAGGGAAAAGGGGGGCGAGGTTGTTTTCGTAAATTCACTTACAGAACGATCCTATCCGTTCCGATTTGCATGATTGTTAACGGTGTTGGATTCAGGAGCATGTCGCATCGCGGCTATACTAGCCCAATTTTTAAATTGTTTCTCGGAAGGTTTGGAG